CCTGGGATCGACTCATCCTCTAACAGAAATGAGTACCATTTAAAGTGTGGAGATCAGAGATGACTCTATCATTACTTGTAGTAACGTACTGTATTTATGTGTTCAATAAATTAAATCTTCAGTCAAACCCCTCAGTTATCGCACCTCAAATACGTGACAATATTGTGACGCGTTACCTTACGTCCATCACCGCGACAACCGCTATAATCGGAACGGACACTTCCACGGCAACGAATACGTGGAAATTGGGGAGTTCCCGCAGCGACAAATCGTAGCAACGAATTTTCTTTGAGTAACAACTGTTGAGACGAAACACGTTACCGGTGTATTATATAAAGAGCGTTCCCGAAGCAACTGATTGCTGAACAGCGGCAACGGAACCGTGAGAAATGGTGTCCGTTATCCAGCCCGCTTTTCAGCGCTCTCTACGGCATGTACACTGAAAGAACTGCAGGACGTCTTGAAGGTGAATGCACAGGCAGGACAAAATGAAGCAATGAACAAAACCTCATAGGAATCAACGGCCCAGGATGACGACTTCCAGGAAGTAAAAGAGACGTAAGAGGCATATTTCTAATGATGCCTCAGAGACGACCAAATCAATCCCAACATCCACAGCTGCCAAGCAGACTCCAAAAGCAGTGCCAACTCGCAACTTCTTCGCACCCCTCAGAGCTAATGACATGGACACGGAGACAACTGGAACAGAGAACACGGAGCAGGAGGCTCCCAGAAAATCAGGTAGGCCGCCACCAATAGTGTGACTTCTACCACAAACCTAATTCGACTCCAAAGCGATCTAAAAGAACACGTCAAAGGAGAGTACGAATTCCGAAACACACGAAATGGAACCCGTATTATAACAAAAGAAATGACAGACTATTCAGCCATGAAATCGTACATGGAGAAAAATAATCTCCAGTATTTCACCTTCTCTCCAAATTCTGAAGAGCCTATCAAAACAGTAATCCGCCACCTTCCCCCAGACACGCCAGCAGAAGATATTTCCAACAGTCTTGAGGGCTTAGGCTTCAACTTCATAAACGTGAGGCAGTTGCCGACCAATCGAAGAGCATCAAATGGACAGACCTACGTGGAAACCCTACCGATCTTCGTTGTTACCTTAACGAGAAACGTAAAATCTCAAGAGATATTCAAGCTGAATATCCTTAACCATATAATTATTAAGGTAGAATCATACAGAGCTCAAACTGGCCTTACACAGTGCTACAATTGCCAAAACTTTGGCTGCTAGAGTTCATAGGCCGCTCAGAATCATAGCATTTAATGCAAATGGCATTACCTCCACCGTGACCCTGCGAGTCGTAGGTGGCGACGAAAAGGGAAGTCTCAAATCTGAGACAGTAAAATATGGTCTCGAGTCTCAAAGGACTCGGACCCGAGAAAGACTGGATTGAGTAATAGAATATTGAGTATTAAGTATTGGAGTATTGAGCGTTGAGTATAGAGAAAGAGACAATCTTGGGATAGCCGCCGCCAGAGACAGTTGAGATCCAACCACGGCCAAGGATAGTTGAGACGTCGCATTGGAGTACTGGACCAGAAGTCAAGTGGCACTGCAAGCGATAATAATTGTACGGTGTGTAAGTGTGAGTGTCCAATAAAGATTCGCTAAATCCGAGACTCACGTGAAGTTATCTGTCGCGATCAATCCAGAACAAGTGCCTGTGGTTCAGTCGGCATTGCAGGCTTGATCTGTGCCTATAACAAATCTCAAAGTTGTTATCGCTTACGAATATTCTGAGCGTAATCTCGATTTGTTGTAGCAGTTAGATCAACGGGGGGGGGGGTTGTCTGTGGAAACTGCAGCTAGATGTGGGTATTCTTTTTCCGAAGATTTCAACCATTATTTCATTTGGGACCATTCAGAATAATACGATCCCATGTTAATGAACGCGTTTACAACATATGAATGAGGAGAATGTGATTAATGCTGATAATTTCGAAATTAATCGCTATTAATGGAAGATTTGAAGTTTTACGGAATTCTTCTATGTTAATGGAATTCACAAGTTGTCTTTCAGTATCAATTTTGTATCTTAGATCCCCTAACCGAAGTGCCAACCTCAGCTTGATTTAATTTGGTACCATGTATTGATCCATGTTAATTACCATGTTCGATTAGGTTTACTTGTACATACAGCAAACGGACAAGGGGTACATAGGCTCTTCTTGCTCTCAAGGAGGAGGCTTAGCCCGACTCTCGAATGGAAAAAAAAGAAAGAAAAACGACTAGTTAACGCAGATTCGAAGTGAAACAGGAAGGACCCCCACAGAGTTTTGTTCTTAGAAATTTACACGAAATGTTGCTTGTCGGAAACCTTTGAGAATACGATATGTGACAGTTTTGAACATCGTAACTTAAAAGTGGATTGGCCCAGACCCCAAGCCAAGCTTAGCATTTATCAAGCTACTGTCAGAAAGTACGTTAAGTCTTAAGAGTCCAAATCCCCTGTAATCCTTAAACGGATTGGAGGAATAATGAATGAGCTTACTCTTATTTTTCAGAAGTGACCAATCCTCGATATTTAGGGAGTTGACTTGTGGACCGAGAGGAAACAGTCAGGACTCCGAGTTTTGAGAAGTCATTCTGCTAAGTTAGTCGTTTTCCGACTCAAGAACCATCCGGTAGCAAAATCTGCATCCCTCTTAAATGTGTAATAAATTATGTAAAATATGTGGACATACTACGCTTAAAGTGTTCAAAAGTATAAGTTGTGTGTCATAAAGTGTGATACCCAACTTAGTAAGCAAGTGTAACCAAGTGTTTCGAAGGAAGTCATCATCCACAAAGTAGGAGTAAAGTATCTTGTGGAACAATGTGTGTGTGTGTGCTATCAGAGGAGTTCCCCACTCCCCTTTTTAAGCGAGACCCTGCCAAACGACCTTGAGAACAAACTCTTAGCTCTACAGAAGAATTAGCTACCCACCACAGCATCCCCTTATCAATCCTTCAACCCTTTCGTAAACTGTAAACTGATAGTGTCAGTTTACTGGCGCCCAAACTAAACATATTGTGACATGTTGCGCAAAGGAGAACCCCCCCCACCAGCAGTGACGCGGTGGGTGAGTCAGCGCTCCCCTCCCCCTCCTCCGCACGGTAACGTAACGGTGACGCAACAGGATTGTTACGGTAGTAACAGCGGTTACTACCGCTAGCGTTGCTAGCAACACAGCGCCAGGCAACAAGGGTGCTTATTACGTGGCCGTTACGTGCAGCTGGGGAGGTAGGGGTCAACATGTCACAATATTATACTAAAGATCAGAGGTGTGTAAATATGATAAGTGGAGCAGGATAAAGCCAGCTGCAGCCCAGCAGCCAGAGCCCGATGACGACAGTTAATGTAAGTGGACAGACAAGGACGACGGAAAAGGAAATTGGCAGCAACGTTAGGGGCTAGAAGTGTTAGTGAGACGGTTACAATATTAAATTGGGGACAAACGTAAGGGCACGACGGTTAAGATCCAAACCCATCAATAACAGACTTTGTAACCGGTTAGCTTGTGAGCGAACTATAGGCAACGTAGTTGTGTAACGGTTAACCTTAAATCCTGTCATTGGGATGCTGTGTTGCTAGCTTAGCTAAAACGAAGGACAGGTATATATAAATTTGTTTTCGAAAACAAAAATTTTCAAAAATGATCCTTGGAGGCATCAGCCCCGCTTAGTGCATTAAACGGCAAGCTCTTTCTGTTATTTATTATGAAATCGTATAGGGGAATTTCGGAGTAACACGACGCGTTTGTAACCTCGGCAAGAAGTGGAGATAAATGGTCAGTTTCAGGCTCCAGCCGCTTTTCATTAGAAAGAACCCTCAGTTCCCATTGGATATGAGGGTGTGTAGGAGCCGGTCCGGATGTTCTGGGGAAGAAAATAGTCACGTTCCATGTCGCAAATCGAATCCAACTTCTTCGTAGTTCAGCACGTAGCTACTGTGCTGTCCCGAAACATTATTACAGCCCGAAGGGCCCCGGCCCCTGTAGCAATAGTGCTGTCCCGAAACATTATTACAGCCCAAAGGGCCCCCGCCCCTGTAGCAATAGTGCTGTCCCGAACATTTATTATAGCTCGTATGCCCCCCTCGTAGCGATTTTGCTCTCACGAACCATTATTACAGCCAGAAGCTCTCCCCCCCCCTTTAGGGACTGTGCTTTCCCCAACCATTATAAGTTCACGTTGTTTTTCTAAGAAGTGTAATCTAATAATCTATCCTTTTTTTTTTTTATTGAAGTTATGGGGACCCTTGTTTTTTAGTTTCCCACCTGAAATGTTAATATTTTTGTTTACTTTTTAATGCCCAGTATATCTCCTAGCACTGCTTTGACATTCAATTCTATTTTCGAGTATATTGACTTACCTTGGAAATGTTTGCTCTTTCAATATTCTTGAGCTAGTTCGTCTGACAAGTCACACCAGACACTAGAACCTTCACTTTTCCGCATACACACATAACTGCTTTAGTAGCCAGTAAAATTTTTTTATGCAAACTCTCCTTGACTCAAGACACGTTTCAGTATGCGATTTCAGATACACGGTTAACGTAGGATTGACAACGGTTCTTAAAACTGAAGCCATGTCAGTTTTCTAATGCTTGATTCTGAACAACCATTCTGTATTGTTGGTGTATTGAAATTTGTTTTACATTTTATTTACTTTAAAAACTTTTTAAATTTTAAATGTTATAAATAAGTGCAGTGTAAGAGATACGTGAGTGTATACACCTGATGATGGGCGTTTGCGGCCGAAACATGTAGTGTATAGAGAGGAACAAAACAAAAGACCTATAAATATAGTTTGCACTTAGGACGGAGTTATGTCATATATTATTTACTTTAATTGAATTTATTTTCGATAAAGCCTGCCATATTTATTTTACGAGAATTTAAGTAATAGAATTCTTAGAATATAGTTACTGCTTATGTCTTATTACTTAATCTAGTAGTATTGTATTATGTTTATTTGAATATAATACACTTACAGTGACGAAGGTTGAATTAAATTATTTTATTCTGCTCCCGTCGGCCTCAGGAAGATCAAATTAAAATCCTTCAATGACAGTCACTCTTCATATTAGGAAGAAAAATCACTTAAGTTCGTTAGATCACAAAACAATTATAATCGAATCTGCCTGTTCAGTGAAAGAACACTTTGCCCTGAAGATGACCGAGAAGCCACCACAGGCACACGCAGGATGTGCACAGGATAACAGTCAAAGTCGATCTATCGCTTTTGCTTCCGTTTTGTGTGATTACATACATGCCCCTGGCGACTTTCTTGTGTGCTTAGTGATGCTTGTGGAGACAGACATGTTTGACGTACAAGTGAAAAGCGGATACTTGGACTATGATCAGGGAAATATAAGGCTGCACGTGTGGCTGATGAACAAGACTGTAATTTGCTTACGAACCTAACGCCGGAGGAGAGGTGGCCAGATGATTGTGAAATATGGAGAGAGGAGAATACTTTTTTTTACACCGATGACATTAAAGTGATTGCCTTCTTAATTTAAGGTCAACGAAGTCACGTGAATGTGTTATGAGTAGTTCGAAGTTTTTGCAAGAACATATGCGTATTTACGGGATAACAGAATAGTGATTGCAGTGATCATTTAAAAAAATTTGAAACTATCCCTGTAACCGGCCGTGGAATCTCACAGAATTTGAGATGTCGAAGCTCCCACATTTTCTAGAAAATCGGCTCACAGATGGCGGTGAGTTTGTAGGCCTTACGCACCGGCCACCCTTTACACCCACGAAGATACCTGGTACTCATTTCTGTTAGAGGTTGAGTCTACCCCAGGGCCATAGTGCGGCTGGAAGTTTTAGGTAAACTGAAAAAAATCCAATGACCGTATCGGCAATCGAACCCGCTACCTTCCGGCTTGTACCATTTAATGCTAACAAAGCGAAGCTTTAAAAAGTTTGCTTAAAGTAAAAGGAGGCTCGAGTACTTGTACAGAGGTGAGCTTCTTGATATTGGGTCAAACTGCATTACTGTACAAAATATTTTGGTTAAAGAATTTGTTTATGTCCATGAAGGCAAGTTTCATAATTTGCAGAAGGATTTGAGAGAGTTTTAATGGAAGCTACATGTTTTTCAATTGGTAACATCCCAAAAGTTACCATCAGCAAGGAAGGTATATACCAGCTTGCTCTTTCGTGTAGCTGCCATTTAAAAAATAATTTCTTGTAATGGACTTCATTTCTCCTATTCTTGTTGTTGTTGCTGTTATTATTATTATTATTATTATTATTATTATTATCAGTCTTTAACATTGTGTACTGTTTTGATTTCTAAAAAAAAATTACGTGTTTAACGAAACGTAGCTAAATGAACCATTTTCCAGTCAAAAATTTGTTCCTGAAATATATATTCTGTATCGTTCTGATAAGAGACTGCTGCACAAAATTGGGTGGTGGAGACGCTTTGATTGCAGTTTCTGAAGGAGTTTCTGACATTAAACGTAAACATGACTTAGATTGTTTTTAACCATGTGTATGGGTAAAAATTGCTGTAACTGATAGTCGTAACTTGCACGTAAGAAATCACTCTCTCTCTCTCCTGATGTACACGCTGATATTGTGACGCGACGCCTGAAAGCCGCGATCCCCCACCTGCTGAGCCGAGCTTCGCGTAGCAGTTTCCTAGGTGATGGACACCGGACCGCTGTAGTTCCCGCGACAACCAACATGCTGGAGACCGTTGCATGGAAAACGCGAAACAGAACCCTTCAACAGGGTGTCTTGTAGACCGTCCGACTGTAGAATATAACAGACGGAGCGGGCAGAAGACTGAGACTGTGAGCAGAAGCAGAGGCGAGAGGAAACCAGCAGAGCTGGGAGCTGAGACCCAGAAGACAGATGACAACAGGCGATAAGATGCTGGACAGAAGATGACAGACCAGTCGGGTTGCACCGTGTGGAAGACTTGATTGTTTAGTAATTTTAATGGTAACCGTAATCAACTAATCCAATAAATCGCTTCGTCTAATCCGGTACCCATTAACTCCTTGTCGTGTTACCAGGATACATGACCGTATTACTAAAAAATACTTAAGCTTTCTAGAAAATATATTAGATGCCTTCAAGTATCATGTTTTTTTTTACTGGNTCAACTACAGATGTTATGTAGCGTAGAAAGAAACACGTGCATAGATTATATATTTAGAGATCGTCGAAAAATTAGTCACTGCCTTCTTCAGACACGCCATGCTGAGATGTAGCAGCACACACCTCAACAAGGACGGCTAGAAGTTTTGTTTTTAAACTTTATTATTATTATTATTATTATTATTATTATTATTATTATCATAATCATCATCATCATCATGATCATTAGCGTTATTAACGCTGTACTGGCTATGTCAGTTGCAGCAGTAACGTGGCCAACTTATGGAGGTTTCTATTTGTACACTTTTATAAGAGACCTGAACTGACAGAAGAAATGAGAATTATAAGTGAATTGAAGTTTGGTGCTGTGACGGGAAGAATATTAAATGCTGGTACAGCTGGTAGAGAGAATACATATTACTGGGATGAAACGAGAATGATTACTGCCGAAGAAGTATGATAAAACAGTGTCGAAGCACAGCGACACCAAGTGATTCCAAGGATCGTCAAAACTGAATAATAAAGGCAGAAGCTAAATCCGTGTCACTCAGCTCCCGACTATTTTACGGAATCGGGAAGTTCATTAGCGTGTTCATAAGAATCCATTACTAGTTACTAACCTGAGCCAGATTAATCCAGTCCATGTCACCCTATCCTATTTCTTTAAGATCAATTATAAGGTTATCCCCCTACCCACGTCTAGGTCTTCATAATACTCTCTTTCTGTCCTGGTGTCTCACTAAAACCCGGTATGCATTCTTCTTTGCCTCCATGCGTGCTATACTTCCTGCCCATCTCCTTCTTGATTTAATCATTCTAATTACGTTTGCTGAAAAGGACAAATTATGAAGTTCCTCATTATGCAGTTTTTCCCAACCTCCTGTCACTTTATCTCCCTTCGGCACAAACATTCTCTTCAAAAACCTGTTCTCAGACATTCTTTCCTAAATATCAGAAACCAAGTTTCACGCTCAAGATATACACCAAGGAATATGATAGTTATCTAGTTGATTGTAGTGTGTATATGCATAGAAATAAAAATCACAATATCGGATTCGTGTATTCTGTCATCTCAACGTCGATGCAAGGCGGAAATAGTAGGTGTGTACCTGTCTAAGTTACTGCCATCCTACTATGAAACATACCTAAATCTTGAAGGAAACCGTTTTAGCGCAGTTCAGTAGGTTCTGACATAGAGAAATCGAGCAGAGTGTTGTAGGAGTCCTGCATTCGAGACGCGCCGTGTTCGAATCTCATGCAGATCTCCGGCTAATATTTTCATGACCTTAACTAGGTCATCACTGGCGGTTGGTGGGCTAATACCTTAAAGCAGATAAAGATTATTTCCTTTCAGATCCTTACCTACTTAATCTTCCCAACGTATTCGATTACGTGCAGCATGCCATTAACTCGCTAAATATGTAAGTCGTCAAAAAGCAATAAACTATTTTCAGTTTACTACGGACTTGTTACGGTGTCGTCACAAGATGTTTTGTGATGATTCATCAACATTCGATAGAAGGGACGATTCATGCATGGGGGGAATTTTACAGGTAGGTTAGAAGGTGAAAGAAAGTTCAAGGTACGTGCTGTTACGCACGTCAAACAGACTGGCGTTCTTCAATATCTGAAGGTTCAGTGTTGACGCGCTCACACGTCTACTGGAACCCAATTAAAATGTATAAATCCGTAATTACTGAATATTATCTTAAAATTGTCGTGTGTAGTCTGCGATTTGAAATACCCAAACAAGGAGATGTGTCAGAACCCTGACGCCTGTTTTGCTTCAAATGCTGCAGTCTGTTTGGAGCAGTAGCAATAGACTTCAATGTTTCGGTTCTGTGTACTTTGTAATTTCATCTAATATAGATTTAATTTAAGAACCGGGATAGCGCAGTCGATATAGCGACTGCGCTACAGGCTGGACGACCAAGGGGTCGGAGTTCTAGTCCTGGTGGGGGTAAGAAATTTCACTTCTCCATGTTGTCCATGTAGGATCTTGGGCCCACCAAACCTCCTATCTAATGGGTGCTGGGGGCGCTTTCCCCGGAGGTAAGGCGGCAGGGACGTGAAGCTGACCATTCACCTCCAGCTAGTGCCAAGGTCAAGGGAATGTGGATCTACACATCCATTCCTCCATACGCCTTCATGGCGTACTGCGTAATTAATTAAGCAGAGGGACAACTTTACTTTACTTTTATAGATTTAGGTTATTTTAAATTCGTTCGACATAACGTGAAACTCTTTCTTCCGGCGTCACCATGCTTGTAATTATATGTAACAAGGTGTGTACAAAACATGTATATATATTTACGACCTTCTATAACTGTCCTCTTAGTGCCCTTACGTTGGTCTCCATTTTTATCCGCCGCTTCTTGTTGCTGTCTGGTTCAGGGTAGGGTGTGGGATTACTCTGAATTTGAATTTGTATGGGCGCCAGTGGACTTGGGTGAAATCCACGAATTTGGAACGGGGAAGACAAAGGTGGGGATATGGATATGCGGGCGTTTGGGGTTCCGACTGCTCAGACGGCAGGACGAGATTCTGTCTCAGGGCGACTTCTGGGCCTTGCTCACACAAGGGGAGAGAGAACACTTCACCAACACTGTTGCTCTTTATTGTAGATGTGAACTAGAATTACACATTACAAGGCTGCAGCACTTTGAATTTGTGCACCGCACTCGGCCAACACCGATTTAACTTCCGGTTGGTTACCTCTGTTACTCACTTTTGGCTACTCACTCCTGTTACTCACTGTCAATGACTCACTGCTCTGGAGAGGAAGAAGTTCTGACGGTTCCTGGAACGCCCGGTTTCCTCTCCTCTGAAATTTTGCTGATTGGCTGAACCTAAAATTTGGGTGTTTCTCTCATTTGCATTCAGCCAATCCCTAACAAGATCCATGTTAATTTGGGCCTAAGTACCACACGGTCCCTCTGACAGCTCTCAAATAAATGAAGGTACGCTAACGATTGCTCGGTACGCCCCTCCGAAAATTATTGCGACTCGTATCTGTCAAGTCTCGAATTTTCAAAAACTCGCACCGTCGAAGTTAAGCATTGAAATTCCCAGAAAACACAGCGGGATACTTCCTGCTCCGTTCTGGGTTTTCAAGTGACCTGCAG